ATATATATATATATATATATATATATATATATATATATATATATATATATATATATATATATATATATATATATATATATATATATATATATATATATATATATATCATTAGGCCACTTCATTTCTTTCTTGAATAGCGGTCCCGCCGACATTTATTTCCAGGAAAATGAAAAAAAGTTAATATCCCGATATTTTTTCTAATTTCCCGCCGATATTATGACGCACGCGAAAGAAATAGCAAAAAACAAATACAAATAAATTTGTCTATGATTCAGTGTGTATGGTATCGTTTCTCCCGTCCCCCCCCCAAAAAAAAAAAAAAAAAAAAATATTTGGTGTTAATACTTTACTTTTATGCGTCATGTCATGTCTATTGTCTATCGTGTCCGTGGTCGGTGGTCGCTTCTGATAAGTACTGTCGTGTATCGCAATATGAACAGAGAACCTGCTCACTAGGATGTAAACACTCAAACATCAAAACAAAAATGGCCATGGCGAGTGGTGTGCAAAATGGCAAAGTACAAATATACGTCAATTTTTTTATTCATTACTTTTTTAGTTTGATTTCCAAAATAATAAATTCTGGTCGAAAGAATTCTTTGTCTATTTTCATTCAACACCCCGAAGACTTCCAATAAAACATAATTGTACTTCCTCCAAGTGGATCTGGAACTGCGACATTCCTTTACTTCTGATCTTTGGAAGGGAGGAGGTACACTTCGTCTTATCTTGAATCTGGCAATTTTTTTCCCTCCCGCCGACATTTCACTATCACCAGACTTGCCCGCTATTCAAGAAAAAAAATGGCTTTGGTCTTTCGTGCACAAGAAAGGGAAAATTGGGATAATCCAATTTTACGAGAACATGTTCAGTTCTACAATGGATATTATTACTAAGAGGGGAGTTCAAAGTGACTATGTGAGGGGAAAGTGCGGAAGATATGCTTATAAACACGATAGATAAACAATAAACATAAACAAGTTAAAAATCAGTAAATCTAAATAAAGATAAATAAAAATATCATTCAGAAATATCTAATATTTGAAAAGAATCCCTTAGCCATACTCAACATTGGAAATATATCAATGAGCTACATATATCTAACATAACAAAAGCATCATTAATCTACATTAAAAACAGAACCTTGTCAATCTAAAAGAAAAGAAAAGAAAGAAAGAAAAAACAAGCAATATAACCCCAATAATCTTTCCCTCATTCACATTTTACATTTGAAAGAAAAGAAAGAAAGAAAGAAAGAAAGAAAAAGACAAGATAACCCCAATATTCTTTTCCCCATTTACATTTTGCATTTGAAAGAAAAGAGAGAAAAGAAAGAAAAAAATAACAACATAACCCCAATAATCTTTGCCTCATTCACATTTTACATTAAAAAAAAAGAAAAAAAAAAAAACAATATAACCCCAATAATCTTTCCCTCATTCACATTTTACATCTGAAAAAACCACCCCCCAGCAGCTGCACTCACCATGACAGCAGGGTCACACCAGTTCAGCTGTGGTTCCCCTTTCTTGAGGTCACGCCGGTGGTCAATGATAGCGAAAAGCAGCTGTGTAAAAAAAGGTGGGTTGGTTAGTGTTTGTTGTGTTAGTAATAGTGATGAGAATAAGATAATAATGATTATGATAACAATAACAAGAGGAGAGGTAAAGTGTGTGTTTTGCTGATAATGGTAATAGGCACAGAATAATAATGATGAGAACAAGAACAAATATCTTGACAACTACAATAACAATAGCGATATAGTGCGTGTTGTGTTGATACAAGTAATGGGCATAGCATAATAATGATGATAACGACGCCCAAAAAAAACAACAACAACAATAGTAGTTGTGGTAGTATCTATAACGAAGAGGGTGATGAAAAGGACAAAATCATTCCCTCACCCCCCCCCCCCCTCACCTCCTTTTACCTTCACCTACCCACCCCTCCCTACCCTTCCCTCACCCTCCCTACCCTTACCTAACCCCCACCCCTTCTACCTTCACCTACCCACTCCCTCCCTACCCTTCCCTAACCCCCTACCTCCTTCTATATTCACCTACCCACCCTCCCTACCCTTCCCTCACCCCTCCTAACCCCCCACCTCCTTCAACCTTCCCCTACCAACCATCTCCCTACCCTTCCCTAACCCCCCACCCCTTCTACCTTCACCACCCTCCCTCCACCCCCTACCCCCTCACCCTTCCCTAACCCCCCACCCTCCTCCCTAACCCCCCACCCCTATCTACCTCCCCTTACCCACCCTTTCCACCTTCCCTAACCCCCTAACCCTTCTACCCACCCTCCCTACCCTTCGCTTACCTTAGGAACCTGCTTCGAGTACTCCTGCGAGTGGGGAGGGACCGGATATCGCTCGCCGGGATCCGCCTCGATGTTGAACAGAATTGGGCGTGCGCTGTGATCCGTCGGGGTGGGCGTGGTCAGGTTGGCGACCTCAGCACCCGGGCAGTAGTTGATGCCCTGGGGGTGGAGAGAGAGA